TTATAGACTATCGCATTATGCTATAGCTCATGGTTTCATGTCAAAGGAATAAAAAGGATATAAGGGAGGTGCGATCATGCATATAATGAGTAAGAGGATATGGTTGTTTGTATTATGACCTTAATGAAAACATTTATGAATTGAGTCTTAATCACTCCTGAGTATTTGTGATTGTATTGTGTAATAAACTTTCTGGGATATGAAAATTATTGATAAGCTTTATTTCCTAAGTATGTGTTATTATGCTTGGAAGTGTGAATTTATACTCTCAAACGTTTTACCTGGTTTGGGCTATTAATATTATTTGTCACTTACATTTAAACTAATTGACATACATTAGTATGGGTTAATCAAACCTTAGTTATTGGTAGTTGTACTCACCCCACTATCTTTAATATTATAGAGAATAGCTCAAGAAATTTGAAAAGAAGGAAGCACCCAGAGGTGTAGGATTGTAATCCTAATTTGTATGCCTCTTTGTTTTGGAGTCATTATGTGTATTTGACAATTTCAATTGCTAACTGGGGATAGCCCATTTTGACCCTTACTTACATTATGTGATTTGTGAATTATAAGTGTATTTTGGTCCCTAGGGAGTGAGTTTATGATATATGTCATATGTGAATATGATAGGGTTAAAATACTAATGTAAGTAAGAATAGAGTGTATTAAATGTTGATCATAGATTACTTGATGAAAATGTGCTTGAAATTGCCCTTTATATGTTTTTGAGATTAAGAGATTGAGTAGTGAAAATTTGATGTGAGTATTTAAGGTGATATGGTGCCTTGCATGAATCAATTTTGATGTTTTACATGTGGTCAAATTGGTGTTAATGGCTATTGGCTTTTGGCAAATGGATTAGACACTTGGTTTTGTAAAATGTGTTGAAAAAGTATAAGTCTTAAAAAGAGTTTCCAAATTTTGATTGAGAAATAATTTGATTATGAAACTAAAGTCATTAGCTAGATCTTAAAAAGAGCTTTCCGTAGATACCTAGTTTACATTAATCAGACGTCATAATCGGGCGCATAGGAAGTTGCCCCAAAAGCTATCAAATTGACAGCAGAATTTATTGTCAAACTTCATGCAATTGCACCACGACGCATTTGGCACGAGCTGCGGCACATGTCATAGAGGCGAACATGCCGCGGTGCATGTTTGACGAGACGTGGTGCAACCCCCAAAACTTTTTAAAATTTTATTGTTTTCATACTCTTTAACAAATGCACTTATATTTGAAATAATTCCATGCTTCCGCATAATTATGAACTTTGATTTGTCCATTTGGAGGACCTTGAAAATGATTTTAGTTTTGTGAACTTGGGATCCCAACTTTTCTAACTACTTGAAACTTGGTATTATGTTAACTAGCTTAATATCATTTCCTTGTTACTTAGGAATTTGGAGTTAATTATGAGTTAGAAGGAGGAGGATATTACAGGCTATGTATATGTTGGGCTGTTGTTGTTGTGATAATTTGACAGGTTCAATTTGGCTATGAAGAAAATGCAAAATACATATTTAAAAAAAATACACATACAATATCACTTTTTATAAAATAGGAAGTAGTTTAGGTGAACTATGTCTCTCTTTTTGAAAAAGTGATATCGTTAATCTTATTCACATCATTAAAAAATGTGACGTGGATTAGATAACTTTTTAAGTCACCAGATTAATGTCTCCCATAATAGCAATGTGAAATGCCCTAAAAAAGTGACATGAAAAGCCTTTTCTATAGTAGTAATTCCAATATCACAAAGTCGAGAAGCATCATTAATTTACACATATACTTTTCACATAATCACATATTAAAAATCTTCAAAATTCATTTACATATACTTCATCAAATCTTGATTTACCAATACTCACATCAATTACCAAATTCTAAGCCACACTTGCAATTCACTATTTTTGAAAATTCATATTATAATAGTTATGAAAAGTGATTTTCATATATTCAAAAACAAGTTTCTAAAACTTTATAATCAATTAATAAATAAATACACAAATTAAATTTTCTTCTTTTACCCCAAAGCTTTGAAAGGTCAAATGTTTACTCGTTAATGTTAACTCAGTTCTAAAGCTATTATACACTTCATCAAATCTTGATTTACCAATACTCACATCAATTATCAAATTCTAAGCCACACTTGCAATTCACTATTTTCGAACATAGTTCATATTATAGTAGTTATGAAAAGTGATTTTCATATATTCAAAAACAAGTTTCTAAAACTCTACAATCAATTAATAAATAAATACTCAAACTAAATTTTCTCTAGTTATTCCAAAACTTTGAAAGGTCAAATGTTTACTCCTTAATGCTAACTCACTTCTAAAACTATTATCAAGCTTGGATGGTGCACAAGACAATTAATCTATAATTAATCATGCCAATCACTATTAATATAATTGTAAACGTACTTCTAGTTTTCAATTTCAACACTTTAGTCACCAGAAACTCTCAACCTTTTGTATTTACTTGCACCCATTAGGTGGATTAAATTCCATTAGCTCCAACAACATCATCTCTCATATTTATAACACTTTAATGCACAAATTCATCCATAAATGACAGCCATTCTTGTGGATTCTTAAAACCACCATCCATAGGTTTAGATAACTTAAACAACTTTCACTAACTCCAATTAAGTCACTAGTTCAAAACTAATGCCTTATATGTTCAAAAATCATCCTCCTACTATAAACCCTAACTCAAAAATGAAATAGAGAGGAGGATAGACTATTACCTTAAAGTTAGAAGCCCTAAACCTCCTCAAAATGGCCACTAATCTTGCCCTAGTAGAGCATTCTCAAGCACTATTGTTCTCCTCTGGTTTTTGCCTAATTTTCAAACCAAAATCACTATTATGAAGTTAGATCTCATGCCATCCGTCGTAATGTATACAACATCCATTGCGGCAAATGGTATAAAGAAGGCTTCCCCAATTTTGTCTCTTCAATTAGGCTTAGATAGCCCAATACCTTTTTCAAACCTGATGTAAAGGTTATATTAGCCCTCTTTAACTATCCTCAAACCCAAATACTATTAAATTTGCTCAATTACCCCTTATTAACTTAATTGATTTGGAATTAAACTTTCAGGATGTTACATCTCCTTAGGTTGACCCCTTATAAGGTTCAATTCTAAGCCTCAAGTAAGGTCTAATACACCCAATAGTTATCCGTCCATCATTCTCTACCAAGTTAACACTTAAATTATCAATTTATCCTTAATTACCAAATTAACCTTAATTAAATTTATAGGATTTTATACTATCCAACCCTCTTATCTTGGGCATGATAGCCTAGGGAACCTTATTTGTGGTAGAGGCATTCTATCCGTAACTCCTATCAAATCCTACCTTAGCTTGTTTTTACTCACAAACCCTCCTAATGGCTCTAAGCTCATCCTCAACCTGTCCTAGGCCTTAAAAAATAGTCCTAAAGGACATTCCATAGAGGAAGGATGTTACGTCGATGAGAATGGAGAAGCCAAAGTGATTTGACTATCATTACACCGATGAGAATGGAGAAGCAAGGGTGATTCATGCACCAAGTGAGAATAAAAAACAAAGAATATCAAATGGGCCAAATGCGTTGGGCTAGAGTTGGGAGAATGACATTAAAGTTCTAAAACTCAGAAATTATGATAGTTGGATTCCTAATTTTTTTTTTGAAAATAATCAAATATAAATATTAATTTAGATCGTCATAAATTCAGAGTTTTAACTACAAAGACAACATTTAAATTTTAAATATAAATCTTAGTTTGCAATTGGAACTACTGTTTGTAATTATTTGAATCAATATTTATAACTTACTTTTTAGAATAATTTGTTGAGAAATTAACTGTCATAAATTTTGGGTTTTAAATAAAAATAATTTATTTTGGTGGGTTCCATCTGTATGGTTTTTTTTTGTTTTCAGCTCAAACCAAATCATTTTTTATGAAAAAAATTAATTGAATTTTAAAACTGAATAGATCAAACTCAAGTTAGTTTGATATAGTTTTCAGTTGTAATTCACTTTTGCACATATTTAAACAATAAGGAACAAGGAGCAAGCTAGGTACCACATTATGAAAAAGAAGGATAAGAAAAAAATAAAAAGAGATGTTGTTTTCAAAAAAAAAAAATGATCCTCCTATGTTTTGCATGTGCCACTAAATAGCTTGTTACACCCTAAGTAGCTAGTTAATGAAGCCTAGAAGGGCTATTATATTATATTTAATCTTAATAAGCGTGAAGGGTATTCCTTTTAGTAATTTACCCTAATTGAATTATAAAAAACAAACTCTTTTTATTAAAAAATATAAAATATTTTTAATCGAATCTCACACCCAATAAAATTGTTATCTCCTTTTAAAATAATCCTATTTTTTTATATTTACCCTTATTAAACACCCTACAATAAATATAAACTTATTATTAATATGAATATTTTTTTAAAAAAGACAATGATTATATATTAAAAACTAAAAATACTTTATATTTTTTAACATTCAATTTCTAAAAAAATGTCTTATATTTTTGAATAGAGGAAATACTCTCTTTTTATTTTACTATTTTTGGAGTATAAATATATTTTAAAAACACATTAATATTTAAAAACCATCATTTTTATATAATGATAATATTACACAAATTTCTTTTTTATACTATATATAAGACAAATTTCAACCATATAAATAATCAGTAACATCAATAAACTTTCTATACAATAATAAATACTCTTTTTATTAAAAAAGTATAAACCATTTTTTGTATTTCACAATATAATTTTTATTTTTTTTAAAGCAACTCTACTAAATAAATAAATTATTATATATTTATTTTTAATAAAATAAAATTTATTTTATTTTTATTAAATAAATATAAATATAAAAAATAATATGAATTTAAAAATAAATAATTATTTTATTGAAAGTAAAATTTGATTATTTTACTCTGGGAGCAAATTGCTTCAAAAGCCCTTGATGATCGTAATCGAACACGCTTGACACCAAACGAACGGCCGGTTGATGTCTCAACATTAATTTGTTTAGCAGAAAATGTCATTTTCCAGACCTATAAAATTCCAGAACCACCGAATGCCACTGCCAGTTCCGCTTCTTCTTCCACCAACTTCACCTGCAAAGCCGATTCCCAAGAGCAACTTTCCTCGACATTCCAAATTTGTTTCGCAGAATCTGAGACATTCAAATAGCCTTTACCTCCACTCATCATCTGGGTCTTTAATTTTATCGGTTTCCGGCGCCGTAAAACCATCTCTCGGAACGCTTACAACAGAAGCTTCTCTTTCGCCGCCGAAAATGGTCAAAGCTATCAGAGTTCATGAGCTTGGAGGACATGAGGTTTCTCCACTTAACTCGTTTGTTTATTGATCGTTCTTTCTTAAATGTATATAGTCAATAGTGTGACACCACCTGCATTTTAAATTTTTTCCCCTTTAAAAAGTAAACGTTTTGTTTGAGTTTAGCTCGGTGAAAACTAAGTTGATATATTATATATTGTATATTTGAGTTAAGCTCGGTGAAAACACGGTGAAAACTAAGTTGATAATAAATACATACATACATACATACATATAAGACTAAGTTGATATATATTGTTTGCTTAGTGACAACTAATCTTTCTATTGAACCCCCTTTACCAAATTTTAATTGTCATCGGAGCCGGCTGCGATAGCGTAGGCAGGTATTTTTTTTTGAAAAAATATCAGGGCTAATTTTATCTTTTTCACAACAAATTTTAATTACATTTAGCTCCTTTGGTCTGTGGAGCAAATTTAGAAGTACTTGGTTCTTCTTTAGCAAACAATGTGCTCGAGTATATGCTTGTTTTCCTTCCTCAATTTATCTGAAGATGCACCTGTCGACTTATCTGATGAGTAAATGATGTAGGTAGTAGGTAAGAAGAGAAAGGGGCGGGGGGAGAGGAGAAAGAGAGAAAAGCAGAAGAATAATTCAGATGCTTATAATCTGTCAACAGACATAACGACTATTCTGCTCTGGGGTCCTATTTGTACTGACTAAACTTAACGGTCACTAATCTACATAACTGAACAAAACTAATTCCTATTCTATTTATATTTACAGAACGATATCCCTTCCTTAAAAGACCCTTGTCTCTTTTGCTCAAAAAAAAAAAAGACCCTTGTCTTTAAGGGTTTGGAATTTTAGACTTAGGAAACTGCTGCTGAAATTGATATGGAGGAACCCAAGTTTCCTCTTCATTTGGTAGGCCCTTCCACTGCACTAAAACCTCTGATAATCCTTCCTTTGCATCTTCCCGATCATATTCAGATAGTTTCTGGTTCTGAGTGTGTTGGTGTTGTTGGCCACTCAATAGGGAAATGTAGTTACTTAACTGTTGGATCTGGACAGAGTTTCACGGATGATACATGAAAAAAAGGATGCATTCGTGGCTCTTGAGGTAGCTCCAGCTTGTAGGCTACTGGACACCTTCTCTCTCTTTAATTCTATATGATCCAAAATACCTTGGTGCAAGTTTTCTATGAGCTTCTTGTAGCAGTAGAAATTTGCCTATAAGACTGTAATTTGATAAACACCAACTGTCCTACTTCAGAATCCCTATCTGCTCCCTTTATATCCGCTTTTTGGTTTGGTTCATCTAGTTGGCTGCCCTATGAAGGTTGTGCTTTAAGATAGCCAAAATTTCCTCTCTTGCTGCAAAACTTCGATCCGCAGCCTCGACAATAGCTTCTTTAGGTAAATAAGGAACATTCAGTGGAGGCTTTTGACCATATAATGGCTCATAAAGAGTAGCTGTTATTGCTTTATAGAAGGTTGTACTGTACCACCATTTAACTTGCAAAAACCACTTGCTCCTCTCCTCAGTTGTCTCCCAACACATAAACCTTGGTTATGTCTCCAGCCATCTATTGAGCACATTGATTGCCTATCAGTTTGTGGCTACTAGGCTGAAGATAACTTCTAATTGACGCCCAAAATCCTTAATAATTCTCTCCAAAAGTTGCTAACAAGCACAGGGTTTCTCTCACTTGTAATCTCAACAGATGCACAAAGTAATTTATAGATGTGATCGATGAATTTCTATGCGAGGGTAGTAGCTGTATATGCGTGAGAAAGTGGCAAGACATGAGCATATTTTCTCATTCTGGCAATGATAACACATATGGCATCCTCCAGATTTAGGAAGGCCTTCTTTCTCAAAAACTCACCATCCCAAAGTATAAGCTTTAGTGCTCCCACTTTGCATTTAAATCTTTATCTACTTCCCAACTTTCTTCAATCTTTTACAATAATTCTTGAGATGTAGGGCCTATTTGGTTTCTATTTTCATTTTTTGTTTTTAAAAGCTATTTTATAATGCAGTTTTCAAAATTGTTTTTCATGAGAAAACAAAATAAAAGTCCGTTTGGTTAAGTTAATTTAAAAATAGTTTTAGAATTAAAAAAATAGATAGATAGTAATGGTTATGGGCAATTAATGATGGTGATTTTGTATAGAAATTGGTCATGTAACTGTAATTTTTAATAATCAAATGTAGTGTATTTTGAAAATAAGAAGAATAAAACAAAAACAACTTGAACTTGTTTCTATTTTTTGTTGTTTAAAAACAAAAAGATGAAAATAGTTTTGAAAACAATTAAATCAAAAACACTAATCCAAATAATTTTTAAATTTTTCAGTTTTCAAAAACAAAAAACAGTTTTTAAAAACAGAAAACAAACAAACTGTAGCATCTAGGGTGATTTGCAACGGTTGAGACCCTTAAAGTTGAGAAAGAACATCAACTGCAGTTTTATCATTGTCCTTTTTCTCATAATCATAACCCATTAACTTGGCAACCCAATACATTTGAAAGGATGTCCTCAACTTCTGCCCTGGAAGAAATCCAAGGCTCTATTGGTCTGTTATGATAATGAATTTTTCTTTCTAAATACTGATGCCAATGCTCCATCACTAGCACCACAGTTAGTAATTCTTTTTCATAAGCCGAAAGCTGAAGCTTTTGGACCTAAAGACTTGCTGAAAAATGCAATGGACTGATTATCTTGTTCAAGAACAACTCCAACACCTGTCCCACAAGCATAAGCATTCATTTCTACTATAAACACCTTATTAAAATCTGAAAGTGCTAAAACAAGTGCTGAAACCAGCGTTTCTTTTAACTTTTTGAATTTTGCAGTAGCCTCTTCAGACCAATGAAAAGTTTAGATAGTTCTAACATGTCAATAGGCATAACATAACGACTATTCTGCTTTAGGGTCCTATTTATAGTAGCTAAACATAACGGTCACTAATCTACATAACTGAACATGGTTAATTCCTATTCTATTTATGTTTACAGAATAGTAAAGGTTCTAATTTGAGTTTTTCTTCTGTCATGGGTTTCATTGAACTGTTGGAGAAGGTAATAATTATTGAAGGGTTTGTAAAATTTTTTCACTTGACAATCTCTTACTTATCATGTTACTTCAATCTTCCATTATGTTATTTTCTCCTTTCATATTATGTCTGTTTCAGTATTCTCTCCTGTGATTTTTATACTTTTTCTTTCTTTCTTTCTTTTTTTTTTTTATAAATTCGATGGTATTCCATTTATAACTAGAATTAGGTCATCTTTTGTTAAGACAAAAAAGAAGCAAGAATCTTTTCAGTATTTCATTCATGTAAACAGTCTAACTCTGTAAATGTATGAATAATTTTGCTAAGCAATTATGGTTGTTTTTTCATTAAATGTTTCTTTTCGTACACACATTCTTAAATTGTTCTTGTTTAGCAAAATTGTATCCCACATGCTTCTTTGTCTTACTTCCATTTAATACGTTGGTGATGCATAATGCTGGTAGGTCCTAAAGTGGGATGATGTGGAAATTGGAGAACCAAAAGAAGGTGAGGTTCGTGTGAGGAACAAAGCAGTTGGTGTTAACTTTATTGATATCTACTTTCGGAATGGAGTTTACAAAGCACCATCATTGCCCTTCACTCCAGGTTTGCTAGTCCAATTTTATTTTTGTGGGATTGTTCAGCCATTTAATATTTCTAGTCTTCACTAGTCTTCATGAAAAGGAAAGGAAAAAAAGATGGATAGAAGAAACTTCTTGTTCCATAATGCTGGCGGTGGCTTGGTATTATGCTCGGTCAGGATCCTACTTAGTATTTGTAGAAATTCAGAGTTTAGAATAATACTCTTACATGAATTTATTAATAGAGAATATGTACATATATAGGTGTCATGACAGCTAGTTTATCACTTGAATCTCTTGATATTAGCAAAGAGATAAAGGCCTTTAATATATGGTTTTATGGTGACAGTTTATTTAATTTGTTTTCCCTGGATAGTGGAGAACTTTTCAGAACCTAGTTCCATTACACTCCCCATAGGGAATGCTGTAATGATAATTTAAATCTGATTGTTAAATTTTTAAAGTCATTTAATTACTTCTAATGTTTAAATGCTTGATTTTATGTTGAAGTTATACAAAGCCAACACTAGTAATCTAATTGGCTTGAAAATGTATTCCTTTCTTAAAATTGAATTAGAAATCGTCCATTGTGGTGGATGCAGCAGGACAGTGACACTTGTCTACTTTCATTGTTTACCTTGATTGCTAACTTGTGGAGTTCTAGCTCATGTTTGTTAAAAGACATATCTAATTGTTTTCAGGATCTTTTTGATGTTTATGCTTGCCAATGTCTTTTCACACACACACACACACACACACACACACACAAATGTCTGAGAAAGTATGAAAGGTGACGGGTCTTGATCTTTGGATTTTAGGGAGCTAATTTGTTTTTATCATTGGTGGAGGCTGCATTGAAGAAGTGTTTAACCATTAAAAAGGGAAAAGAAATGAATATTAGACAAAAAGGCAGTATGAAAGCAGTGTTCATATTCCACACTTTTAGCAAAAATCTTTCTTGGCAGATCCAAGCCACTTATACCATATATAAGAAATGCTCTTGCCTACCTTACCGGATTCTTAGGCAACTCGCAAGGAAGAGAGTTAGTCATAGCCTATCATAGACATGACTTTGATTTGCAAGGCTATAAGCTAGAGAAAGCCCATTTCTGATCTGATCTTGATTTTTTTTTTTAAATTTCACTCTTGAGGTTAAATTCTCCACAAATCTCCTATTCACTCTTCCAAGGGGAAGTGGTTCTACAAGCCTTGAGATGACTATGAACCCTTGAGAGAGAGAGCGCGGGATTGAAAGTAGGGGGCCCAATAATCACCTGGCCAACAAAGAACGTAATTACCTTAATTCCATCAAGCCTCCCTTCTATCTGGCTTCTACTTACTCGCTCTTTCTTATAACTAGCCTTCTTTTCTATCTGAATATGTAATTAAGGATCTATCCTGTAAAGTGAAAGAAATGCCATGTTGAGGGGGACCCAGAAAAAGAGTGAAGATAAGAAGAATACTATGAAGTGCATGCTGATTGCTGACTAGTAATTACGAATACATCTAATCATTGCATTTTGAAGATAAAAAAAGAAAAAAAAAATATCTGCATTGGAGTTTTGCTACTAAATTAATGTACATATCTTGTTGATGAAAAACATTATATTAACATTTATTCTAATTGTCATTTTGTGATATTTTACTTGAATGGCTTAAAAATATAATAATCTATTGGGGTGCCTGCCTCATCTACTTTGTGTCCCAAACCCTCTTGCCTCCTTATTGTAGAAGTAAAAATAATAGACAGATTGGAAAAGTAGTTAGTGAGCATGCTGAGCTGCCGTTTTCTTATTTATAATTGTATATACTAGACAAAGGAATGATTAGTAATTATTACAAAAGATATATATTAATCTTTCTAATCATAATCTAGTCAGCCCGAATATCATACAATATCTACTTTGATTCTCAACACTTATTATTGTGCTTCTTTTTATTTTTAAAAGAACAAGAATGAATGACCTCTGGTCTGAGAAGAAATAGACATCCATGACAGCTCTTGATAATGGGGTTCATAACTTTCTATTGAGGACTAAACTGAGATATCATACATTGGATTCCCCCTCCCCCTTTAATGTGGCAGGCATGGAAGCTGTGGGGGTTGTGACAGCTGTGGGTCCAGGGCTAACTGGTAGGCAGGTTGGAGATGTTGTAGCTTATGCCGGTCAACCAATGGGCTCATATGCTGAAGAGCAGATTCTTCCTGCAGATAAAGTAGTCCCTGTGCCTCCTTCTATTGACCCAATTATTGGGGCAGCTATCTTACTAAAGGGCATGACTGCTCATTATCTAGTCCGACGTTGTTTCAAGGTGTGTTTATATATTATCTAATGACATTGTAGCTTAAGCAAGGACCTCTCATTTTACATTCCCTTTTTTTCCTAGTGAACAATTGCGTTATGAAATGTAATTACCTAGAGTAAAACCCCATTGTAGTCCTCCAAAGATAATTCTAGTATCAACTAGTTTACCCTTTTTTTCTTTTTTTGTTTTTTGTTTTTTGTATTTTATTTTTTTGTGCATCAGGTTGTGGTCACCCTTTTCATTTGTTATTCACAGAAATAAAGAGCGGTCTCAGATAAAGATGTTGGGAATAACCGTTAGCCAATCTAACTCCTCTTATATATGGATTACAAATCTAGATACATAACTAATACTAGTATTTGAAAGTTAGCTCAGCAGAAAAAAAAAAAGAAAGATAAATCTGAACAATCTAATCAAATCAATAAATAACCATTTGAGTTTCTTGAAGAACATAACATAACGTGATCATCTCTCACATGGGAAGCCCATTCTCAAGCTAACACTTCCCTTCAAATTAAGGAGTAGATAATGTATGGTAATCATGCCCAGCTTGGAGCCCAACTCCTTAAATTTGACTCAAGTTGTAGCCTTTGTTAGCACATCTGCCACTTGAGGATTGGTTGGGATGTGATTCAGTTATGACATACTCAATTCAATCACCTCTTTAATAAAATATTTATCAATCCATGTTTAGTCCTTTCATAGTGGATAGGATTTTCTATATCTCTCACCCATAATCCCTTTGTTTGCATCAGTTGAAGAGAGAGAGAGTGTGTGTTGCATCACTATTTTTTATGATTAAATTGAGGATGTATGTTAGGATAGAAAGAGATGAAGAGAGAATAAGAAAGATAGGTAGACGAGAAGGAGAGAATAGAGATGAGTAGACGAGACGTTCTGAATAGTACGTTTATTAAAATGAGTTTCAACAACACTGTGCATCTGGACTTGGGTATTTATAGGGCTGGACCATTAGGCTAAATATTAGTAACAGTAACGACCCAAGGAAATAACATTTATACCCCTGCCCTAACTAATTCCTAATATTTTCATACCAATACTCCCCTCCCCAACATCCTTGCCCTCAAGGATCAAAAAGAGGAAAATCTAGAAACTGTTTTTGAAATTTGAACTGAGACAGCCATGTAGCTTCCTCATCTGGCAAGCCTTTCCACTGAACTAACACTTCAGTAATAATCCTTCCTTTCTTCCTTCCCACTCGCTTGTTTAATACCTTCTCAGGAAATAACATTTCTGGGATTTCTGGCCATTCATCAGGCGGATGTCGCTGCTTCACTGATGGGTTAGGGCATAACTTGAGGAGAGAAACATGAAAAGTGGAATGAATTCTGGAACTAGGAGGTAATTCCAGTCTGTATGCAACCTTCCCAATCCTCTCGAGCACTTTATAAGGCCCAAAGTACCTTGGTGCTAGCTTTTGAGTGCTTCTAGAGGTAATAGAGATTTGCCTATAAGGTTGTAATTTCAAAAACACCCATTGACCTTCTTCAAACTCTCGATCAGATCTTTTCAAATCAGCCCTTTGCTTCATTAAATTTGCTGCCCTATGCAAATGATGCCTTAATACTCCAATCATGCGTTCCCTTGCCTCAAAACTCCTGTCTACAGCTTCAACGATTGCTAATCTAGGCAAATAACTGAATAAGGAACATATAGAGGAGGTTTCTGCCCATAAAGTAATTCATAAGGAGTAGCCTTAATGGAAGCATGGAAACTAGTATTATACCACCACTCAGCAAGTAATAACCATTTACCCCATTCTTTAGGATTCTCCCAACACATACAACGTAGATAAGTTTCCAAACACCGATTGAGCACCGATTGAGCACCTTGGATTGACCATCGGTTTGAGGATGGTAGGAAGAAGTAAGCTTTTGCTCCACTCTAATCACCTTGAGGAACTCCTTCCAAAAATTACTAATAAACACCGGATCCCTATCATTTATCACTTCAACCGGGCTCCATGCAATTTATATATATTATCCAAGAATGCTTGAGCTAACGTAGAAGCTGAAAATGGGTGAGATAGGGCCATAAAATGGGCATACTTGCTCATTCTATCCACGACAACCCAAATGACTTCCTTCCCACTTGATTTAGGGAGCCCTTCGATGAAATCCATAGTAACACTTTCCCACACCTTACTTGGAATTGGTAGTGGTTGTAACAACCCTGGACTTGCCACTGTCTCATACTTACAGCGGGCACAAGTGTCACAATTTTTGACAAAATCCTGCACATCTCGTAACATTTTCTTCCACCAAAATAACACTTTGATTTTCTGATATGTGGCTTGTATTCCAGAGTGTCCCCCTTGAGCACTGGCGTGTAACCATTCTAGAATAAATTGCCTCAAGGCTGGACTTTCTCCTACCACCAGCTTCCCATTTCTTCTAAGGAATTTGCCATCCCAAGAATAGGCTTTAATACTGCCATTTTGTCTTTGTAAATCAGAAATAAGGCCCTTGAGATCTGGATCCAACTCCCAACTCTCCTCAAGCTTGTGTAATAATTCTGGAGATGATGTATCTAGAGTCATCTAAAGTAACTGAGGTCGTGAGAGTCGAGAAAGAGCATCTGCAGCTGTGTTATCATTCCCTTTTTTATAATGAATTTCATAACCATACCCCATTAACTTTGTAACCCAATACATCTGAAAAGGGGTCTTCAACTTCTGTCCCAACAAAAATCGAAGGCTTTGCTGATCTGTTTTGATAATAAACCTTCTTCTTTCAAGGTATTGATGCCAATGCTCAACAGCTAGGACAACTGCCAATAATTCCTTCTCATAAACTGCAAGCTGGAGCTGTTTGGGACCCAAAGCCTTGCTGAAAAATGCAGTGGGTTGATTTCCTTGGAGCAGGACAGCCCCAATGCCCCTTCCACAAGCATCCGTTTCCACTACAAACTCTTTATTGAAATCTGGGAGAGATAAAACAGGTGCTGAAACAAGTATTTGTTTCATCTTCTTGAATGTGGCAGCAGCTTCTTCATGCCACTGGAATGCATTTTTCTTCAAAAGGTCCGTCAAGGGTTTGATTATCTGTCCATACCCCTTTATAAACCTTCTATAATACTTGGAAAGCCTTAAAAAGGACCTCAATTGTTTAATAGTAGTTGGTGTAGGCCAATCTACCACAGCTTGAATTTTCTGAGGGTCAGTAGCCACCACTCCATTACTAATAACGTGCCCCAAGTATTCCACCTTATTGTTGGCAAATGTACACTTGCTCCTCTTGATGAAATAATGATTTTTCTGCAAAATTTCAAACACCAGTCTTAGATGCTGAACATGCAGATTTAAATTTGAACTATAAACTAAAATGTCGTCAAAGAAAACAAGAACAAAGTGGCGTAAGTAAGGTCTAAAAATAGAGTTCATTGCTCCCTGAAATGTTGCTGGAGCATTGGTTAAGCCAAATGGCATAACCAACCACTCATAATGACCTGAGTGTGACCGGAAAGCTGTTTTGAATGTGTCTTGAGGCTCCATTCGGATTTGATGGTATCCTGCTCTCAAATCCAGCTTTGTGAACCATATAGCTTCCTTCAATTCATCCAATAATTCTTTCACAAGTGGAATAGGATATCTATTCTTGATTGTCTTCTTATTAAGCTCATGGTAGTCGATACACATTCGCCATGAGCCATCCTTCTTTTTTACCAATACAATAGGTGCAGCAAAAGGGGAGCTACTCTCTTGTATCACGCCTGTGGCTAGCAACTCTCCCACCATTTTCTCAATAAGGTCCTTTTGGGCAAAAGAATAACGATAAGGCTTGAGATTAATAGGATCTGTCCCTTCTTGTAAAAGAATAGGGTGGTTATGACCCTTCCTAAAAGGGGGCAGACCTTTAGGTTCATCAAAAAGACTAGTAAATTCTTCCAAAAGGTCACCAACAGCTTCTGGAATGGGTTCTGTTGGTTGCACAGCATGGATTTGACTCTGAAACTGACTATTTTCTGCTAATTGGAGTAGAAATAATTGGCACCTGTCTCCATTCTTAATTTCCAACTTGCTAGAATCAACCATTTGCCATTTTGATGGAGGTTGTGCCTGCAAAACACACATTTTCCCATCATTCCAGAAATACATAGTAGCAGAAATATAATCCCAAAAGGCATAATGAAGGCTTTTAAGCCATTCCTAACCCAACACAATATCGTAAGTGCGTATGTTCATTATCCTAAGGTCTCGGCCAAAGTCTTCTCCTTGCATTTTCCATTTAAATGCCTTCCAAACTCCATATGTTTTCAATTTTCCAGCCCTGCAACCACTACATCAGTCCATCCACCTTCTTCTTCATTTCAACCCAGCTTCTTTGCCAAGTCATAATCGAGAAAATCATGGCTGCTTCCATTATCTATGAGAATTTGGATAGGTCTTCTTCCCACATATCCTTGAAGTCTCATAGAATTCATACTAACTTCACCCTCAATGGCATGTATTGAAATTTGATGGCATTCAGGAGGAATTTCACGTTCATCAGGGTCTGTCTCGTTAGGTTCCATCTCCTCTTCCTCCAGATTTTCATCCAACTCTATTAATTGCAATTACATCTTGCGTCTTTGAGGGCAATTATGGCCTCTAGAAAATTTTTTATGACAATAAAAGCAGAGGTTTTGTGCTCTGTGTTCTGGCTCCTCCTCTGGTGTTAATTTTATGGGAATTTTAATCCCAGAAATAAATTGGCGAGAAGAAGGTGAATCTTTTGCTGTGTTGTACGCTGAGCCTTGCACGACTGAGGATTCTGAGGTTGGCCGTGCTGTTTTAGTTATGTTTTGGCGAGACCCATCACGTGAGAAGCTCTGTTTCGGTGTTGCCCAGGTATTCACAGAACGCCAAGAGGCTGTAGATGCCATGATATTGCTCTGCAGTGTGTAGGACGCCTTTCTTGGGCGTGTGGTTGCTTCTAGTGATCTCTGAAGGTGTATTTCTTGAAGTCGGGCCAGACTTCTTGCATCCTGAACAGTTGTAGGCTTAAGTAATCTCACTGGCCCAGCATATTCTTCTTCTAAACCCTCTAAATAGGTCTGCACCAGATACTCCTCAGTTAGGTCTAGCTTACATACAATTTCATCAAAAGAATCATTGTAATCTCCTAAGCTCCCTGTCTGTCGCAGCGCATCAGTTCCGCCATGGGTGCTTCATAAGTGGGTCCAAATCGATTCTTTATGGCTTCCGAGTATTCTTCCCATCCAGTCGCACGTCTCCTTCTGGTGCGCATGAAGCTTTGATGCCATTGGAAGGCTTTCTCATCAAGATGAATACTAGCCATCATGACTTTCCACGCATCTAGGGTGTTATCAAGCTGGAATACTGATCACACTTCATGAGCCATCCAAGAACATCTCCTCTCTGGAATCTTGGAAACTCCACTGGTAAATCGGGTAGGAGGTTGATATTCTCGTTCTTGTCTTGGTCGCTGGTGTCCTTCTTCAATTCTTCGCTGGTGTCCTTCTGCCTCGTTGGAGTCGATCTCGTGATGAATTCGAGACTCTTCTACCGTGCGAACAAGTTCTGCGATCTGGGCAGTGAGCCCCTCAATCTGGTTTTCAACCATCATGAGTCTTGCATCTGTTTCTTCAGCTATCCTTGTTTGCAAACGAGTGACGGGCATATGAGGGAGGAAGGATTGGCTCTGATGCCACTGTTAGGATAGAAAGAGATGAAGAGAGAGGAAGAAAGATAGGTAGACGAGAAGGAGAGAATAGAGACGAGTAGACGAGACGTTTTGAATAGTACATTTATTAAAATGAGTTTCAACAACACTGTGCATCTGGACTTGGGTATTTATAGGGCTGGACCATTAGGCTAAATATTAGTAACAGTAACGACCCAAGGAAATAACATTTATACCCCTGCCCTAACTAATTCCTAATATTTTCATATCAATGTACTTCAACAATATTCATAAGCTACTCTGAATGATTCCTTCATGTGTTGTGACGAGATTGACTAAATTACCTGATAAGATTTTTGCTCCAATTACAGATGTTTTCTACTTTCATATCTGGCTGTAATATCTTGTTATTGGAAATGCATGTTTTTTCCAAAGGCCTTGTACTTGTTCATAATTTTGCCCCAGCTTTATTGATGATATGAGATACATTGATATTACAGGTTGAACCTGGTCACACAGTTCTTGTTCATGCTGCAGCTGGTGGAGTTGGATCTCTATTGTGCCAGTGGGCAAATGCTCTTGGTGCAACTGTTATAGGACTTGTGTCAAACAAGGAAAAGGCGGTTCAAGCCAAGGAGGATGGATGCCGTCATGTTATAATCTATACAGAAGAGGACTTTGTTGCTCGTGTCAATGAAGTTACCTCTGGCAATGGAGTTGATGTAGTTTATGATTCTGTAGGAAAGGACACATTTGAGGTAATAGCCCAACCATTGTTCTACTTTCAATTCAGATGAAATTTTAATATTTGATATTTGTCCAATTTTTTGTTCCTTTCCTTTTCCATTTTTTTAGCCAAGACAAGTCAATTTTACTTATATTCAAAACCATATTACACTCACTAATAGATTCAAAGAAGAGGGGAAAATCAAAGCCTCTCAGTACAAACTATAACAGAAACACGCAAGACAAAATAAATCTATCACACAACCTATAAAGAAGAAATCAAACTAAAACAAAAGTCTTCATTTCCAGCACCCACCTTGACAGCAACCTCATCTATCAGCAACACTTGTTTGGGCAAGGTCCTGTAGCGACAAAGAAAACAAAGGGTTTGGTGGTTCTGTCTGTGACCGTCCATGACGTGCTGAACCCCTAATTGCTTGAGCTGCTATCCATGCGGCAGCTTTAGTACCCTGGCTTGACGCCTTGGACAGAGAGAAATCTCTCTCAGACCTCATTAAAGGAAAGCATTCCCACAAAATGTCATTATACTGTCATTCCCATAGTTAAACATCTTTGCTGCATAGTCTCTTGAATTATTCTTCACAATTCATCTCAATCACAATCCTGCTGCCATCTGGCCATTTCAGACAGCCAGTCATTCAGTCATGAAGGAAGAGCTAGATACCACTCCTAAACTCTCCCATAAACAAACAACCCCTTAACGTCTCTGGATATCAAGCCTATACCTCCTTCCAACCTTCTATAGTAGCAGGCTCCATCTATTTTAAACTTTCAATTCCCAACCTTTCTCTTCCTTCCTCTTCTGCAGTGATCTCCAATACTCATTCACCAACTCCATTGCCTGCTCCACCCCTCTTTCCACATTCACTTCCGCATCATTAAAGACATACTCACATCTATTTTTCAAATGCTCTAGCAGACTGAGACAAAAATTGCTTGTCCATGCTCATCTGACTAATTGCGTGTGAATGAAAAGTAGTTCGTGTTGTGGTTCCTGCTATATGTAGCAAAGGATACAGATGGAACCTCCAGCACTCTTGTTTTATTTAAATGACATGTGAGACTTGAGTGCCTTTGAAACAGAGAAAACAAGGAAGTCTGTCCAAACGGCAGAACTTTAAAAAGTCTTGCAGGGTTTTCAAGAGGTCAAGGTGCCAAAATGCAAAAACCTTCTCCAGCCTTGCACCCTTCACGTGATAACATGCTGTGGCCATTACTCTGTCCTCCAATCCTGCCCCCACCCATCCTCCAGGAAAAAAAAGAAGAAAAAGCGAACGCATTAATTTCTATCCCTGCTAGCATGCAATTCCTCTTGTCCTTATGCCTCCTCTCATGGCCTCTTTCTCTTGGTCCAATATTATCATGACGTGTTATACCTTTCCGGTAATACCTATGAAGCATTGATACTTAAAAATCTAGAGTCATATTGTATCATACAAGACAACATTTCAAATCGCATTTAAACATGATACAGGGTCTGTTGCGGCATTAGTGTCGTGCCATATCTTGTATCTGTCTCAATATCTATGCTTCTTAGAGTGATACTGAAATGGTTATTCAAATTTTCATTGGAAGGAAACTTTATTATTGGATATTTGAGTGATTGAGTAAAAATTAATAGTGTTGTTTCTTGCATGATGGCAGCATCATAAATTAGCGTATTCTTTTGGAGCTCCTTCTGTCGCACTTTAGCTTCAAGAATTGAAAGCAAATTAGGGTTTGATTGGCCTAATGTTGGATGTTGATTCCCCCCCCCTAAAAAAAAAAAAAACTGGACAGCTGATTAAACACCATCTTTAAATTACTTCCTAGATCGTATAAAAATGAAACACATTACTTTCTTTGCCTAATTTATAAATGATGAGAAAGAGATAATGTTGGATTATGTATTTTGATGATGACAGAACCAAGAGAAGAGGTGTTTGTTATGTGTGCTGATTAATAAAGAATCATGGATAAGAACAAAACCTGGAGTGCATGAAGAATCAAAAAAAGATGAACTTTAGGATATGTGACTTAAATTCTTTTAGATTCAATGTGAAAATTGAGAGCTTAATCACATTTCATAATCATTAAAATGAATGCATCATATTTAGCTCAATTAGTTGCGGTTATACACATTAAGACTCATCTAAGTACATTTAAGCTTGCAAGTTTTATCATTCTAAACTTCTTGTTCATAGAAGCTAAATCCTTGTAAACTGCAGAATCACGTGTGTTCAGCATGGTCATTCATAAGATTTAGTATGTTGGGCACACTAGCTGACGTTTCATGCAAGAGTGATGGAGTGATTCATGTGTGAATTGTCACTTGTGTTATGTGATGCTTTAACTTTGCTTCTGGGTGCAAAATCATCTGAGTTAGCCACTGGTCTTTGTGCAAGTTTTAGCAGTTGTGTTTTAGTACATTGTGCCATAGGCCATTTCACGCGTGAGGATTGATGGTAGCCACGCGTGATTTGTCTTTTGTTATTTAAACACATATTGCTAAATTGAGTCTTAAGCCATCCCTAGCCAAGTTCAACTTTCTCACTTGTATGATTCGTGATTCACATATTTATATTTCTTGATCATGAAAAATTTTGCTTGAGTGCATTGCATTTCCACGCGTGAAATGTACCTATACTAGTTTGAGTCTTACTACCTGCTATTTCACCCATGAATAAAGTTGTGTTCCATTTGTGATTTATCCTCCCGAGTGGACTAAGTCTGGAGCTAGTTATTTTAAGCATGATGGTTTTTTGTTTCCATAAGAGTTTTGTTCACAAGAATTGGCTTTGACATTCTGCCAGCAATTTCACGCGTGAGAGCATTTTGGTTCCGTGCAAATTATGTCACACAGATTTAGGATTAGCTTTCTGCAAGCAAAATCATGCGTAATGACATGTTCGCACGCAAGATTTGTCACATAGAACTGATGTTAGTTTTTTGTAAGCTAAACCATGTGTGAGAGCAAGATGTTCACATGCGAGTTTTTACACACATAATGGATTGAATGTTCATATACACAAAACCACGTGTGAGACACCTTGAGATTCACGCATGATTTATCATATACACATATTTGGAACATGTTGAGAGCAATTTCACATGTGATTCAGCAGGTCACATAAGAAATTACACCTACAATTAGTAACATTGTTCCAACAGTCTGTCAACTGTCAAAACTATATATGTGATACAATTGAAACTTGAATTAGAACTTCTAAGTCTTGAGCGAATTTATTTTTATCTGAGCATTCAAAAAGCTTTTAAATTGTGCTTAATCATTTTAGCATTCATTCATCATTCTTGAAAAGAATTGTGAAAAAGCTCTCATAAGTTTATAAGCTTTCAACTGTAATTTATTCACTCTTTAGGAGAGTTTCTCTATAAAAGTTTATGTCATTCTTTTGAAATCTTGAAAAGTTAAATTTTCAAGTGTTTGTAATAACTTGCTGGATTGTAGTAAAGTTTGTTGGTTGATTTAAGATAAGTTAAGTCTTGTGAATTGTATTGTGGTGGCAAGCACCCATAAGCTTGTGGATCTAGTTGAAAATTTCAAAAGTGATCTTAAGAATTGGACATAGGCTAAGTTTGGGGTTAAACCAGTATAAATCTCATGTGTCATCATCTTTGTCCTTCATACTAAAGCTTTTCACTCTTTAAGTTTTTGAAAAAATTTTAAGTATCACTCAATTCAATCTCCCGTCATAGGTGCCAGCTTATCCTACAAATAAGTTTGTCTAATTGTATGGATGTTGCCTGAGAACATATAAAAACCTTTTCTGTACATACCCGTTAACTTAGATGTTACTTGTGACCTTTTACTTTTCCAAAATGATAGAATCTTGAAGAGTTAGTGACTATATATCATATTATATTTTTTGTTTTTGGTGGATTATAAATCTCAACTCTTGAAGATTCTATCCTTTTGGAAAAGCAAAAGGTCACAAGTAACATCTAAGTTAACGGGTACGTACACAAAAGTAAAAAGATTATATCCTTTTGGAATTATCTTGGTTGTACTATTCCCTCTACTATTCCAACATGGCAAGATGACTGTGTTTTTTCCAATTTTAGATTTTCACTGTGGATTATTACAGGACCTTACTTCTATAATCATTTTAGTGCTAATAGAATTGATTCTTACATTCACCCTCTTCAAAAAGAAATAGATTAGTGTAGTTGTATGGACTTTGCCCCTAAGAACATATAAAAACCTTTTATGTTCATACCCATTAACTTAGATGTTGTTACTTGCCACCTTTTACTTTGCCACATGGCATGTCTGTTGTAGAAATTATTGGATGGATCCAGTGCACCACGTCATTCATGGTCCATCCAATAAAATTTCACTAATTTAATTGAATAAAATATTATGTGTCCTTATTTCTATAACAGAATGTCTATTTAATTTCTTGCATTTGCTCACTCTATTGTCATTAATGTCAAAATCAATTTATATTTAATATAATATGAATGTCATGCTTCTATTGAATTGACCATGGATGACATGATGCACCGAGTCTAATCCAAGAATTTCTCTGCCTATCTTAAAAGTGTCATAAGGAAATTTCTGATCAAAGGGAATATTTTGGTTTTTTGTGAAGGGATCATTGGCGTGCTTAAAGCTGAGAGGGTATATGGTATGTTTTGGGCAGTCCTCAGGCATACCTGACCCAGTCCCATTATCTGCACTGGCTGCAAAATCGCTCTTCTTGACTCGACCAACCTTATTTAAATATGTTGTAACTCGGGATGAGCTATTGGAGGCTTCTGGAGAGGTATTTGCTAACGTGGCTTCAGGAGTGTTGAAGGTGAGAGTCAATCACACATACTCATTGTCTGATGCAGCCAAAGCACATGCAGATCTAGAAAGTAGGAAGACAACAGGTTCTATTGTGCTTATACCCTAACTCGATCAGTCAATCTGTTGAAGTTCCGGCTGTACCACTCCTGTTACTTCTCTTGTGAATAGTGCATTATAGAGTATAATGGCTTCGTGTAATTTATATAGCCAATTTCACTTAATAGGATAAAGTTTGTTGTTGTTGTACTCTTAGTGGTGTTTCTTTGGCTTTTCTTATGAAACTTAAACATTGGGCTTATGTTCTTCATTTATGCTGCTGCCCTTTGTTCATGTGATTAGTGATTTCTAATTTCATAGAAAAGATTACTATTTTTTGTTTCAATGAAATGTTTCAAAATTTGGCTAACCTCAATTCATCAAATTCAATTAATTATTTACAAAGGTTTAAATAGAATCCAACGAGCTTCCTCTGCAAAGAATATCCAAATCCTAAAAATATAAAGTACTCAGTTTATTAATCAACATGACAATATGATGAATAAGGAGCCTTCTCTTTTAAAAAGGGTGCGTAAGATTTTGGCACAAATTCTAAGATCTTTTTCTCAAAATCTCTGATGACGATGTAAGATTTGAGCTTACGGTGGATACACACACATTTGTTAGGCATGGACTTGCCTGATTTGCTCTGATGTCAAAACCTGTGAGTTTTTCGTTCTTCATCATTTGGTCTTCAATCTTCATGACTGATCAAATTTTATTCCAGACTCTTCAAATGTCTTAATGATCTTCTTGCTTAAGAGAAGACCAAGTAAAAGGACCCATACATATATACCACTAGCCATTTGGATTAAGTAGCTAGGGGGTTGATCCAAGTATCCAACATAACCAGAGGTCTTAAAGTTTGAATATTGTGTAACTAAATTGAGCAGCAGATACAGAGGATATTTGTCTATCAAATTAGTTTTGTCACCTGGATTTGATGTGAGACATGGTTACCTCATTAACAGAACCATCATTGGGAACTCTTGAAGAAGATGAATCTCCAAGGACCAATCTTCCAATTGAAAATGCTGGCCGATTAGGACTGGGAAATAACATTGTCACTTGCAAGCATGATGACAACAATGGACATGGTTGGCCTATCTATTGGATCTTCTTGAGCACAAAGCAAACCAATGTGTATGCACTTCAAGACTTCAATTTCTACGCATTCGGTCCATCAATTCCAAAGATTTTTCTTCACGCCACAAATTCCAAGCCTGCAAGCAATTGCAAATTTTGCCATTTGAAATAATGAATGTCCTAACATTGGGTGATTGATCACTGTCCAGTATAAAGTTAAAATTTCTTGATGAGATCACATTAGCAATATAACTTACATAAAATAGAAGACTGTCCATGTTCAAAAATGTGAAAATCCCTATTCCTTTTTCCACACATAATTTCCAGTAGAAGGACACCAAAACTAAAAATATCTATTTTCACCAAAAAAAGCCTTCCATAGCATATTCTGAAGTCATATAACTGTTGTTGTCAATCCATTCAAATAAGAGTATAATTATCCATGACCTAACATTTTTATACACAATTTGGATACTAATTTTCAAGTATAAAGGAAAAGAAAAATGATCAAGTTGCACACGTCTTCAACGTACCCATTATTCGTCTTGCATTTCCTTGATTTTGGGCTCCTTCGAAAGTCTTTGCCAATCTAAAATATTATATTTTAGAGTTCATTTCATAATCCAAAAAAAATATTGCTAGCTTTTAAATCTCTATGAATGACTCTAAGTGGCAAATCTTTGTGAAGATACAAAAATCTTCTTGCAACTCCATTAATAATATTTAGTCTTTCTTTCCAATTTAGTTTCTTTCTATTTTCTTCACCTGCAAAAAAAAAAAATCATATATCAAGAAACTTAAGGTGAAATTGAACTTTAGCTAGAGCAACCTAGTAATGCATGTTTCTTGCTACGCTATATGACACAACAGAATCATATATCAAGAAAATTGAAGAATTGATAATGAAAAGAAGATGAGCATTAAGATCACCACCCCAGTATGTTGTTTTTTGCGGTATGTATTAGATTTGTTTTTCTATCAAAATAATTTAAGCCAATTTGATACGATTTACTTTAAGTTTATATACCTGTAATCCATTTTATAGTTAATGAATGTCGTACATTTGATTATGAGGGAATGCAATCCATCATCACCCTCTCATGCCAACCATTTACCAGATACGAAGTCTCCTTTGTCAATTGAAGGAAGTAGAATTAATCTTCTCAAGACGAGATTCCATTTGTTGTGCTGATTTGCTTGCAAGGCACGTACATATGGTTGAGAATGGATGGTCTATTGTCTCAAGCACCAACCCTTAGTCAAGAAATTATGTCCATTGATGTGAGCTTATTGTCAAGTCCCACATCGGAGGGACTTGAAAAGGGTCCTGACTATATAAGCAAGTGCACTGCACACCCTAATGGGTTAGCCTTTTGGAAAGAGAATAATGGCTCCATGACAAAATGATATCAGAGCCAGACCCGAGTTTGTCCAATCAGTAAGCTCCTCTGGTGGGCCACCCATGACGGGGGCGTCACAGATTGGCCGGGGAATTATCAGGTCCCACATCGAAGGGACTTGGAGAGGGTCCTGGCTATATAAGTGGGTACGTTGCACGCCCTAATAGGTTAGCCTTTTGGAGAGAGAGTAATGGCCCCGTGACATTATGCTCTAGTGATTAGGCTAGTTTTTGATTGCTGGTATTTTCAAGCTTCGGTTTGCTCTTTGTATTAAAAAAAGGAAAATCATAATCTTTGGTCTCTATAGGTTTATCAGGTTTTGCTTTTAATTTTTATAGTTTTTTTCAATGTTTTCAATCCTTATAAAAACGAAAAATATTGAAAAACTGAAACTATAAGAACCTGAAAAAACAAACATCACCCGATCTTTTTAAAACTATAGGACATGAATGTAATATCCACCTGATATTACTAAATTATACCACTTGATTCACACAATCATAATTAGAGGTCTCGCATAATAGTGCCTATTTTCATTATTTGGAATATTTATCATCACAATCACACATACATGCACATTTGGCCATCAAATCATCCTTTTACACATAATAGGGCCTATTTTCTACAATTTCTCATTTGCAGCCAAAATCTCCACAACTTCACCATTATCACACACATATCCACATACATCATAATCTTAGCCCAATGAGTCACATTTCACCACATATACAAAAATATGAGCTAAGATGCACATATGGCTATGACACATTATCACATGCTAATGCATCTTATGCCAACTTAAACCATTAAACATTCAAAATATAAATTCATTACACAAAACTTCAAGAGTACAACTGTAGTGTAACATCCCGAAATTTTAAGACTCGGATTTATAAAAAATAAAATAAAATATCTATAATTAAATTAAAATTTAGAATAATTTAATAGAGGCCCAGAGTTTGAATTTTACTAAGCAAAAGTTTGGTTTTATTTGATTTTTAACTATGGAAAAAATTACCAAAGTTGACCCGGGCTTTTGTGCAATAATAAAAAATGTTGGGCCCTTTCTTGTAATTTTCCCAAACTTTTTGACCAGCAATTTAAAGACCAAAACTGATGCAGAAACGCAGAAACTGAATTGGAAAGGAAAGGAAAGGAAACGTATGAGAGGGAGAGAGAAAGAAGAGAAGTGAAAGGGAGGGAGTTAGGCTTGGATCTAGGAGTCTTTGCGACCGTTGCGAGCTCGGCTATACGATAGGTAAACTCCCTACTTCAATCCTCTTCTCTTTCTCTTGATTTTCTTCAATTTTTGGAAGAGAAAATTTTTGGATTTTGATCCCAAAGGCTTTATTCTTGTAAGCTTTTGTTTCTTTGGATTCTAGGGAGCATGTTTTGAGTTTCTATATAGTGATCTAATGTTTTGAGTGAATAATTGGATGAAAAGAGGTGTTTTGGGCACAAAATAAACCTTGAGAAATTGGGTTTTTGCTCCTCAATGGTTTAAGCCTATTGATTTAGTTATAATTTTGCTATTTGAGCCCAATAAGATTTAAATTAAGGTTTGGTTTTCATTATAAGGGCTAATGGTGAAAGTTGGTGGCACTAAGTAAAGGTTTTTAATTGATTAAAAAATTATATAAATTGAAAATTAGCCTAGTGATGGCTAATAAATGGTTTTGGTGGTTAAGTGATACTATGTGAATGGTTGATTTAATATATGGACCATTAGGGTGGATTATGACTCATTGACCTAAGTTATGTGGTATGAGTTATAGTCTTCATTAATGCTATTTGTCATGATAAGTGATGTAGATCACTTATATGTTGTAGAAAATTATTGGTGGAACTTATTGAGAAGTAAGGAACAAGCCGAGCCCTATTTTGTACAAGGGGAACCCTTTTGGTACCAAAGGGTTGAGGTAACAGGGGAATTTATATTTCTTATTACTTTATTTTAGCTATTTTTGAATAAATATTACTAGTTATCATGCATTACATGTTTTAAAAGATTAAATGTGCTTTATAAGGGGTTATGGGGTACTACTTTGATTATAGTGCAAATATGTTTTCTAATTGTTTAATAACAATGTTTTTATGGAAATGAGATTTATAAATATTATACTACTTTAGAGTGTTGAATGGTCAATACTCAGGAAAGGTAGACAAGAGTAAAAGGCATGATCTCGGTGGGAGTTCACCAATGAGAAGGTGTGGATTTTTGATATTCTATGGCACACTGTCAGTACTCAGTGTTGTCTTACGTATTGTGGGCTCAGTGCACTAAAGTGGTTAGTGTATTGAGTGTTCGACACCTCTCAGTGGGGGAGGGAATCCGACATATGAAGTGTGAGGTTGAGTGCCTAGGCCAAGGTAGCCCTCACATGGAGAGTAAGTCGGGCTAGCTCTGGGAGGGAGTTAGCTTTGACTACTCAGGATTCACGTCGAAGGGGCATAGACGGTTCGGTGGATTAGATCATGCCTTAGATTATGTTTTGTGCCTGTGGAGGTACAAGTAGATATAAGGTTTATCTGCGAGTTAAAGAGTGCCAGGGGGCATTCTGTTGGTCATGAAAGGCCATACCGGCCTAGGTCATGCATTATGCATTTTAAATGGCTAAATTATATACTATGTTGAATTTATTATTCGTTTATTTGATTATGGCTTACTTTGTAATAATCAATGTAAATTTCGCTGTTACTGAGACTGTGGTTGTCTCACCCCTTTCTTTTCAATATTCTAGGTCCAGGTGAAGGATCCAGTGGTGGACGGGGAAAGGAGCAAAGCTAGG